AGCAGTAGGCGCTGTGCAGTACATACGCCCAGCTTGGCTCTTCCGTATCTCTGCATCCCTGGATACACCGAATCATCCCTACTCATTATGCATACCATGAAACATTAGAAGGGTTCAAAAAGCATCACTGCAGGCCCAATTACCGGAGCCATGCGTTTGTCTTTCCATTATTCTTCTTCCTCTCTGCGCTCGTTGCGCATTGCACCTCCAAGGCCTGTTAGACAACTCAGACCTTGAGTCTAGCAGCAAGGTACAAAGGGTCTGATTGCCCAACTACCAAGGCACTTTGCACGTCAAGGGCTTCTATTCCACTGAATCAATCTAAACTATCTGAATCATATGACCATGAATCCCACATCGTGGCTATTGTGTACAGTTGCACACAACTTGCGCTGTATTTGGTATTGTGCATAGCCACGAAGAGCTTCCATATAGAAACTAACGGCACATGTATCACAGAATACATGCACTAAGACGCTCAGATACTCGGCAGTAGTCAGGCTTGAGGTGATCCAGCTGAATTTACTGCGTTTAAGGTCACTGGAAAACCTGTTTGTAACGGGGGAGAAGGAAGCCAAAAACTTTAAATTACCACCAAGGAACCTACAAACTTCAGCCGATAAACTGGATGAAGAGGGCAATCTAGGTTATAGCTTGAAGATAGGACTTCATTAAACGGCACTACGCAGACTGAAGCCCATTTTACTAATACCCACTGAGAATAAAAGCGCGAGATGATGCACAATTGAGTGAAAAGCAACTTGTGGAGACTCAGAAAAACACCAAAGCCGCTTAAGGGGAGCGCAGCATCTGCATTAGCAAATGGATACGCTTGTAGTACGAAACCCGCAGAATATCCAAGACGAGCCCCGCTTTGAAGGAGAAAACTTTAAAGGTAGTGCAGGGAGCCGCGCCAAGTCCTACACAGAGTTGTCGTATATGGCCTAGGTCTTTTTTATATCCATGAAATTCGCTGACTCCTCTTGCAAATCAAATCTTTCCAGCAATCACCGACATGCGGCTCCCGATAGAGCGTTCCAAAAAATCATGCTTCCTAGAATTGACGGCTCCTGGAAGAGTCCGGTGTGTGCGACTGATGTTGAAAGTAATTCTGGCAGGCAAAACTATCAGGTATCCACCAAATTTGCAAGGGTATGAAGTGACCAAAACCCAGTGTAAAACTCTGCAGGCCTGCCAGCATCTGCGGCGAGAGTGACCGGCAGGGAGTGACCGGGCCTATTCTGTGCCATCATTAACCCCTGTGTTGTTCACTCTAATACTAGGATATCAATCACAGTAACTAACTTAAAATTAACGTTTCACTATTTTACAGCGAAATAGAGGTTATAAGCCGCGTTAATTTTCAACTGGTGATTGGTACATGTCGTTTGTGGGGCTGAGCAGTATGGGCTAGATCGCTCTTGATTTGATGGCCCTCTGTGCACCGTCTAGCAGCGTTACAAAAGTCTCTCTGTTGTCGATTAATATTTCCTTTCAGAGCGAACTTTCGACTGGTTTAAAAGTCGGTCATATTTGCGACGGCAATTCCGCCCAATCGCGCTGTTGAGTTGTGAGCTGCGCAGTCGACGCTGTGTACAATTGAGTGCCATTTATGTCTTCGACTGAGTGTAGCTACAAGCATGAGTTGAGACTGAGAGGGCTAGCACATTAGCTGTGGCTCTCGTAGGCGAAGCTTCGCGGTGCGACTCGAGGGGCTCGACTCGCGAGGGCGCAGAAGGCCGTCCCTTTTGTGTGTATGTTGCTGTTGGCAACTCCAAACAACACTCCAATACAACTATTTGTGATAGGGGTGTCGCGGAGGTCAACACCATTCCGTCATCGCGTCAGCTAGGGGAGGCGGCTTCAGTTGGAACTATGCAGCAGGAGAAATCACTACCACTCTTGGAGGATGCTGGGGCCACTGAGGTCACCAATTTCGCAACACGGCCTCCGGCCTGCTGTGCAGGAGGTGGCGGTGTTCCTTACAGGGATCTCCAGAAAGCGCGCATGGCCTTCCGAACACGGGACATTGATGCTACGAGGCAAGCAGAGGGCTCTCAACTATGGCGAGGGGACTTGTCCCACTACCCTACGCCCTTTCATTTCGCGTAGTATAGCTCAGCTAATGGGAGACGAGGAAGGAAGAGATGTTAGCTCTGCCGCAACTAACGCTTTGGAAACGCGGTTCTATGCTGTGTATATCAGGGCTGCTCATCAGCACAACCACCACCACAGCCAAAATCCCGGCGACTACGGCGAACTCTCTGGCGTTCACACAGAGGCACATAAGAAAACGTCTTCAGACTACTTGAAAGCCATTGTGTTTGGTGGTCTTGATGGTGAGTTTCATCGACGCCACTGACGCTATTTAACGCCTCCGTTCTTCGGTGTCTTGGCATGAAGCCGCTTCACGCCCTATGTTGACCGGATAGACGTCAGAGTTGCTTTTTAAGAGAATATGACTGCAGGCATTGTCACGATATTCGCTATTGTTGCTGGATGCGTCGGCGCCAATCTACATCCGTCGAAAGTCGTCATCATTGGCATTGGAAATCTTCTGGCAGACGCGATTAGTATGGGTTTCGGAGAGTTCGTGAGCTCTGCAGCAGAAGACGATTTTGTCAAGAGCGAAAGGGACAGAGAGGAATGGTAGGCTGCTAAGTCTCACGGCACGTACCGCGTACCTGTGGGAGCCCTGAGATGCTAGAGCGTACTTCGCACATTGGCGCTCGCAGTCTTGCAACTGTTCATGTCAGTGACTCTGCTGTAACTACGCGTTGCCACAGGGAAATAGAAAACTGTCCCGATGAGGAAAAGCAAGAAATGATTGAGATTTATAGAGACCGCTATGGCTTTACAGAGGAAGATGCGGATTCCCTCGTTAATATCACATTCAAGTACAGGGAGTTCTTCGTCCGGCATATGATGGTGGAAGAATTGGGACTCATGGCAACAGAGGGCCCCAGTCCCCTACGAAGAGGTTAGGTCACGAGTGATTACCATTCTCCAGGTCGTACTGTTTCCGACACCATTGAACTCGTGATGAAATGATGCTGCCTGTGAAACAAAGTAGGCACATGGAGTTGCAGTCATGTACAGTCTGCCATATTTTGAGAGTCGTCTACCCATATTCACGCATAGAATGCTATGAAAGCGAGGTGACCTTAGCTTGCTGACGTACATCTGTGTAAATTATGGTCCACAGGCGCGGTCATGTTCGCTTCTTTTTCGATTTTCGGGTTACTTCCACTGGCCGGCTTCGTTGCTTGGCTGACGCTGTCAGGGACGAGCACAGATGGCCACTTGGCATTTGCCATGGCGTGCGTTGTGTCTGGTGTCGCGCTGTTCATTCTTGGATTCTTCAAGGCGAGCACTAAGTTTTAATGAAATATTTCGCCACGTATCAAGGATAGTAGAGCATAAAGCTGTCTCTACCACGACGCCGATTTTGCACGGTCACAGCACCCGCTGTGTTAGTGCACAGCTATGGTTCCGCTGCAGCAGTCGTACGGTGCTAAGCATGCCTGTTGTGTGCATATGGAGCTTTGCAGGGCCGCTTCGTCAACCAGAGTTCATTGAAGTCCGGGCTTCTGATGATCATTAATGGAACCTGCGCGGGCACCGTGGCATATACTGTTGGGGCAGCTTTAGAGGTGAGCTAAGTAGAAATCACTTGTAGGCTCGCATCATTTGTATTGGCTGTGCTCCTTGCTGAACGTTGCTGCACACGTTGCTGCACACCGAAGTGCTTTCCACAGTTGCCATCTGTGGTCTTTGATGGCACGGATTTGAGTCCCAAATTCCTTCGCTTGCCTATTTTATTCGTGAGGGGTTCTCGCAGGGTGTTGTTGCTGGAACGTTATAGGAAGCGCTATATTCCAGCTAGTCTGGGTGGTGAACATACCAACTGACTCGACGGAGCGGCCTGTATAATTGACAATGCTGGCCGTCTCGTTAAACATGGCCGAGACTGCGCTGCTTGCTTTTTTGTGGGTATCCAGCTCTCCGCTGGCGTATATTGCCTCAAAATGTATCAACCAAGAGGCTTCATGGCCAGCTGAGAACGGAAATCCACCTACATGAGATATCGGGGGCGACGAATGTCACCTGGATCTCCCTATAGTGCGCAGTTGCACAGCAGCTTTTTTCCTTTCAAGAGCAAGGAAGCTGTGTGCACAAAATTCTGCTTGTTCTAATCAACTATGCTGGAAGTGTCTCTAGTTTCGTAAGTAACTAGGCATAACTCGCTAAATCGACAGAATACATAACTGGTTACATAGAATTGGCCTCACTGCCGGAGGCGCTAGGGGGGCTCCCCACGGGGTTTCTCCAGAGTGTATGCAGAGCCCGTCGCTAGAGAACAGTCACATCTCCACGGTTAGTTGGTTCCCTTATCAAGACAAGTGTGTAGGGTATGCACGCATGTTTTTACTGACCAATATCTAGAACGTTAGAAGTAAAAAACGAATTTCCCAGTCGAAGCGTATTACAGCCTTTTCTTGCTGATACGCCCCACTAATACGCTTCAGCGGGTGTGCAGTCTCCACCAGCGACTTCAAACACAAGTTGTGCTGAGGCGGTCTACTGGTGGAGGCTGTGTGCAACAAACGTGATTTTGGTACACGGCGGAAACTCCACCCATACTTCAGCGTGATGCTGAATGCGTATCAACGGATGCACCACAGCGAAGCTCACCCACTTCAGGTGCTTGCCACGGTGCATCCAGGACTCGCTTCAGCGAGCATTGGCACTGCGAAGACTGAGAATACGAATAAACACCCGCTCCGTCGCAAAAGCTTACCCTAGATGAAATTACTCCGAGGGAAAGGCCGTCGCACCAAGCCTGTAACCACGCCTTACGATTTCTCTGCCAAGCCACACGCAGAACATTGCAGCTCTACGGTGGAAAGTTCCTTCAGCTCAATACAACACCGGCTCGAGGAGACCGCAAAAAAGCGTATCCGAATTTCAGTTCCTATTTGCTATTTGGGTTTGCATTACTACGAAGTATGCACTCTGTGCGGAGCCGCCTCACTGTCGTCCGACGCTCTACTGATGAAGGACATCTGCTGGCTCTGCGGCAGCCTAGATTGGAGATCCAAGCTCCGATCAAGGCGCCTCGGCTGCTGCGAAACACCCTCCGCTTCCGAGGGGCCTACTCCGCCTTCAGGAGGGAAAGACGTCATATATGGCAGCCTTTGTTTCTTGTATTCGAGCACGAGGCTCTTGACGCTTGCCGATGGCTCTTTTGAGCGCGCCAAGTGTTCGCGAAATAGTGCGGGCATCAGTGTGAATAGAGACATTCGGCGCCAGGGCACAAACGGGTGGCTTGGAAATGCTAGAGTAGACATGTAGTCCTCTGACACCGGCCTCACCCAGTCGCGGACCTATATCGCCCACCACTCGCATTCGCTCAAATCCACCCTGTCAATATGCATTGACCGCGTTGACTCGCTTGGTGGAAAGCACGACTGTAGACGCTAGGTAAGCGCTCCATCAACGCGTGCGAAAAAAGTGCAAACAAGCAGGATATGTGCAGCGGAATGCAGCGAAGTAAGTGTATCATCCTGCATACTAACCTTCGGAATAAGTGGCGTCAGTAGGAGGAAAGCAGCTGCCATCGCCAGCAGAGCTGCACCCAAATTCCTCATACCGGGAGACCGCTTCATCGAGTCCCACTGCAAGTCAAAACGGTGCGATGCTGCATAGCGAATCACACCAAAACGAAAGCGCAACGAAAAATGCATTGCAGTAAACACGCAAGTGCGGTGAAATCTGCGTTACTGTCACCAAACTACATGGATAACGGTGATGCTTTGAAGCAACGGTTGAACGTGCTCATATTGTGGCTAACTGTCCTCCTACACGGAATGATCTCCTGAGCTGCCCGAAGCAGTAAATTGCTCCTTACCGTCAGAAATCGACACAAGCATGACAAAAGGTACCAAGTGCTTGATGCATACACACCAGTACGTTGACGGGCGGAAGATAAAGAACGGCCTCGTCAAACAGCCACAAAATAGCGTGGGGAGGATACCAATGACGGAGGTGCCAGCCATGTTGTGTTGCGGGAAAAATAGAGTGACTCGCGAGATTTCGTTGCACAGATCTCGCACTCCACCCAAATACAACGCCAGGAAGCGCTCCTAAAAGCACAGGAATAGCATATTTGCAAACAATATATGCACAGAGCAACTGTCAATGGGACACAGCACAGAGGGATTTGCGGTGATCGATTCAAAATGCGAGAAAGGGTGACAGAAACAAAAGCGATACTAATTTGGTTGAAACTCTAGTGAGGGAGTACCTTGAATGTTTTCGCCTGTGCGTCTGGGTCCCTTATAAATAAGGCCACACCGACGGCAATTAGAGCGTTGATGAATACCATCACCCAGATCGGTAGAAAGATGCCATCTTGGCAACAGAATACTGCAATGATGTAGCAGGCTCCTACAATGAAGCATAGCCCCCCGAAAAGAATGCAGGCTGCGAAAGAGCAAATCCACAAAAAGGACCTTGAATCTTAGGCATGGAAAATGCTGCACTGCGCAGCACCTATATTGTTTGACCTTGAACTGCCTAGCAAGCAGCCGCAGTGTGCTTTTCTAATCCCTACTCACCTTTAAGACCCACAATCCTTGCTTGTCGCTGGAAGCCCATCACCCATCCCACATAGAAAGTTGTGCAGAAAACAGACATCGGAACCAGCAGCCACTCTATGATATAACAAGCATACTCAAGCCTCTGCATTACAAAGAAAGAAACAGACAGAGAAGAAACGCAAAGCTCAACGCATTACTTAAGAAGCTGCTCTAACGTCCTCGTTTCACGCGGAATAACCGAATCTAAGGCCCTCAACTGGGAAGTGCGTCCAATTTGGAATAGTAACTGGCACTCTTACAACTTGTTGGTTGTTTGCACAAAATGGGAGAGAGATACAATAGCATATGATCACAATCACCGTGCTCGTGAGCCTTCGCCACGAATGGTTGATTAGGCGAGATTCCTACAAAGTCGCACAGTCAGGTGCATATCTTGTTCGGTGAATAAACTTGCATCAGATGTGACTGTCTAAATCACCGACAGCCTTGCCGAGTGTTTGGACAGAAATACACGCTTAATAATAGGACTGTTTGAATGAGGCATACCAGAACGGCGTTGAAGACGGAATGAATTGCAATAGCCGCAACTTGCGTATTTATTAAGAAAACGCCTCCGTAGAAGAATAGGCCGAAAAGCTGCAGGCAACGTGCTCAAAATCAAGTCAGAAGACACTATAGCGATCACGTATCTAAAGTCCAGGCCTTCAGTTGCGAGCTGCTGGAATAAGCAGCTATGTGAGGCGACAACTAATGCGTGGCCTGCTATGCCTAGAGCCACAATGGAAAGGAGGGATTGGGAAAACTATTCAAGCGACAGCCAGCTGTGTCCAGCATACGTAGGGAGAAGACACTTTTTCAAAGGCAGCAGGAAAAACGACGAAGTAAGCGGGGGCTGTGCCTGTTTTCCTTATGATGTCGGCAAGGGGAATGTCGGTAACTGCCTGCATGGCACACAAGCCTGAAGCTGTCCCGTTATCGATGAATGTGATGATTCATCGCTGAAAGGCGCGACCCCCTGCCATCCCGGTACTGCATAACTTGTTAACCAGATACGCTGATACTGCACTGCAGTGGTTTAGGCGCGTAGAATGTACTTGAAGGTTTCCGACAATCGACAGAAGGGATACAAAGGGAACCAGTGCCATGAGGAACTCCACAATGCACGTGAATACACCACTTGGGTATGTGTTGAAGCCAATCCTGTAGCACCCGCATGCTCGCATTGTTAGAATAGCTCCACAATAGGTCGTTCTTAAAAAAAGCGTGAAAAGCACTCTGCTGCAGCTGAAAAAGCTGCTACGGGCCCACAAAGAAGCGGCTTACTTTGTATAACTCGAGACTGTGCCTAGAATGCAGCAGCCCAAACAGAGATCCTGGCATATGTAACGAACAAGCGAAGCAGAATATGCTGCATTAAAGAACCCTTGGATCAGCGGCCGCCAGTCGAAAGTCGCCGAAATGGCCGATGCAACATGCACGCTGCCGTCAGTCCCAACAATAAACGATACAACGGCCAATGTGGCGCAAAGGACAATGGCTACGATCATCAACAGTGCAGAAGCTGCGGGCAAAAAAGGAACAGCATGCCATCTCTACATAAGAGTTTGGGCAAAAAAATCGGAGCTCCGCGGAACTTTATCCGTCATGCAGCATTCACTACTAGCTAGATACACCAGAGCCCAAGCTGGGAGACTCACGGAATCCCGCCTTGAACAATCCCCTCCACATGTATCCCAGGATGTACAGCCATACAAATGCCAAAGCCGCCAGCGCTTTGGGTCGCAGCGCATCAGGATCCAGGCTTGTGTTAATCGTTGCTGGCTGCAATTCCTCTAAATAGTGCAACGTCGCCTGCACGCAGCGCCAAGCATAAGTTACTGTTTCCGGCTTCAACTCCATTATAGTTTGGTGGCACCAAAAGCCACAAGCAATTTTGCTCGTTCCAATTGCAAGAAAATGAGACTATGCCAGGATTTCACCGCGCCAGCCTGCAATTCCCCAGGCACACTGTCAACAAATGCAAGGCCCACAAACGCAGTCTCACCTTGCCCGTGGGAGAGGCAATGCAGACTTCGGTGGCCGGGACATAAGAGCAGAGAACCCCATGGCCTGCTGCGTTGCAATCCGCTTTGTTTCCATGGAAACCGTTACAGAGTTCCATGTCGCTGACTGTGACCTGCCAAGGTTGAGGACGTGAAAAACTGGAGACGAAGTAAACCAACAACTGACCGCTCAAAACTGAGAACAACCAACCGTACTCCAAGCGTCTGAGAGCTCGGCAAATGCTGTATCATTCAAAAACAGCGTATTCTGAACTTTGGAGGGTTTCATAGTGCACAGTGCTGCAAACATGAAAGGCAAGACATGGCATACGTGCTTTCGCTGCGTCCGCCAATCAGTACAAACTTACCAGCAGTAATGATGACAAACGATATTGATGTCAACACCTGCAAAAGCCCTAGCCCTACTAGCCAACGGTTCAGCTGCGTGTTTTGCTTGATAGCAGCGCCACGAAGGAGGTTCCCAAGAACAAGCTGACACAAGCACAGAACACACCTTCCGCGAGCTGTTTCGAACATTAATGGAAAAAGCATCCACAATAGAATGTGCTGTGCTGGAGAGGCCACGCCTGACCCACCTCTAGCTGAAGGGTTGGCAATCCAACGGTGAACAGGAAAAGCAGGTATGGTAGAAAAAACATAGAGCTGCGCCAGATTTGTAACTGTTGCCAGTAAGTGGTAAAGTTTGAGGCCCCCACAACAGCCCCAAAAAGCGTTGAATAGACTAGAGTTGTCGAAGTATACCAGCCGCGTCTCCTCTGCCTCTGCAGCCAACTCTGCCACTGACTGAGCGTTTCACCCCCTTCTTGCGCTCCATAAATAGTGCCGGCCTGCCCTTCGGCGGGCTGCGCTGCTGGCAGGGCTGAACCTGCAACAGTTGGCTCTCTATGAGGTGACCATTCAGGCTCTGCATCCCCTCCGTCTGGCTTCGGCCTTGCTGAGGGGTCAAAGGATTGTGGATAGCGGTAATAGAAATCGCCTTCAGTCAGCAACACTCCGTGCTTCTCTTGGTAGTCCAAAGCCTCGAGTTGTACACGTAGCAGTTCGTGTTCATCCATCTTGTTTTCCATGCGGACCTAAGAAACAACGCCAGCAGAGCTTTTCTTGGATTTACGCAGGGAGAGGACTGTATAAGAATAAAATTAATGACTGATCCACCCGCTACTTGTGCGCGGCATCAGCAAGACATGGACTCTGTGGAGGAGAGCAAAGTGCCGAACAAGCGAAATAACACAGTAGCGGTGGCACAAACTGAGGCTATACGGCGAAACGAGAACCGCTCGCTACCTTCTGAGTGAAAAGCGGAGAGTGCTTGAACGCATGCGCCTCATTGTACATCTGTCGACGCAGTTCATGAGGCATATCCGTTGCCGACGCTGCTACTGCCAGTTCTTTCGCTACTTCTTCCCCACCTAAGACGCAAAGAAAAGTCGTTGGCAAAGTCACCATTACCTAAATTCTAGTGCAAAATGAGTCACGTGCGCAGCCCTGCCGAACCTCATGGACAGAAAGAAAAAAGGCAAACACGACGAAATGCCGCGAAACGTTGTATGCGAATGGATGCATGGGTAAGATAAATAACGAAGGTATACGTTTCAGCGAGGATTGTACGCGACAGAGAGTTGGTGGCAAGTGGCGTACCACTGCCTTCACCTTGCTCTCCCGCCTGGACGGGAAGGGAGGCCACCTTCTCCAAATTACTGACGCCCACATCTCCAGCCGAGTGGCGGCTGAAACTTGTCCGGAGGCGTCGCATTTTCAGCATACAGCCAGCGCTCGCCTGGGCTCCCTTTCTGTGGCCTCGAGGCGGGAGCCCCCGGATCCTGCGCTCTCAGAGCTAAAGATGTCCTTGTGTGCACCTTGATGTCAATACGCCACAATACGAGACAAAGGTGAACAGAGAAGGCTGACTGGAGCAACGGCAACACAGCCCTTCCCCAGGGCTGCGGAGTATGCTGGTGCAGATCACCGCTCCAACGCCAGAGTACTGAGATGAAGTAGCTATTGTCGTTGTTTATGTCCTGACCCATCCGTCGCAGAAAGGAAGGCGCAGAGGCGCAACCAGCACAGACCCCGGCAAGCTGTTTCAAATGCAGCTGCAGGTGCTGCCGTCCCATGTAATTCTAGACCCAAAACGTCTTTTTATCACAGGCAGATGGTACTGGCGCGCTCGAAACGGAACGCCTAAATATTCTTCGCATCTTTGCCTTGATTACAGACGTACGCGATTTGGCGCCAATGCAGTATTGGCGGTAAAGGCTATGTTTTGTCAGTGTTTACGCATGCGTTTCTGGCCGATCATATACGGCTACAGATGCTGCCATGCAAGCGGAGTAGCTGCGAATGTAGACTTTTCAAATCCACCAAAAATGGCTGTTGGCCAGTCGCGTGGGATGCACAGATTACAACACCATCACAGCACGCGGTAATCCACAGCTGTTGTGGTGTCCGTACAATGAGATACCAGGCAGTGTTATACAATCCCTAAATATGGTGCCGAGGCATGAAAGAGATGCCAGCCCGACCCCGTAAATATCCCACTGTACAGTCGCCTAGAGTGCATACTCAAGGAGCCGCCATGGAAACCCTTTCGGCTCTTCCGCCACTCGGTGCCAGCCCTAGCACCCCAAGCATGCGCTGTTTATTTTGATGTGACAGTTGTCCACGAGCCGGCTAGATTCGCGTGGAAACTGGCCGCTTATGCGGAGGACGGTCATCCCAACCAAAGATTCAAAACGAGGCGAAAAAGCGGTCCAACCGTGACAAATCCTAAGGTCGCCCTTGTACCTGCAGAGATGAAAAAATGGGACGGGCAACAACATTATATCCTCAAGAAATTAAATTGCTTTCCTGCTTCATGTGTAGTAAGCTTGTGCTATGTCGCGGGACTGGGGCCCTGCCAGGGCTTTGGCGTTTGAGAGCGAATGAGGCACCGGGGCTTACGTTGCAGAAGAGATAAAGCCACTAATTGCATAGCTGTCTTCTTACAGAGGAGTAAATTTCGAAAGATGCAGTTGAACAGCCTAGATCCATGAGGTCCAGGAAACAAGTAGGAGGGCGCAAAGCGTCTGCGTGGGCGTCAGTCGTGTGACGGCGCAGTTTGAGGCGGGAGGGAGCAGTTGCTCACATACTTCCTAAGATAATTGTTTAAGTATAAAGAAGGCGAAGTTTAGTCCACCTATACCACGTAAGACAACCAACCAGCGCCGACGTTCTCACGGATTGTTGGAGAACGTCTGTTTGCCATATGCTTTGTGTGGTCGTCTTGTTTGAGTAATAGTCACGCTCTGCTTGCATACACTTGTTATATTATTTGCTATTTTGGCTACGTGGCGCTTGCGTGCTCCGCTGCATCTGATTTCCAAGCCGTATTCGGACAATCTGGCACACGGAGTCAACGTTGTAACAGTTATGATATTCTTATGGCTAGAGACGAAAAGAGGGCCAACGAGCGCTACACCGACCAAACGCCGCGTTCCTGGTGTCTGATTGGAGTGCCCTCGAGCGTATTCGCAGAGCGGTTGAAGCTCAGTGTTCGGAGGTCTTAGTGGCTCCCAGAGTGTTCCATTCTGAACATTTGGTTATTATGCAGTCGTAACGGGGCCTACTTGAGTTGAACTGTGTTTCGGTTGTCTTCTGCATGAGCATCAGCTGTACTCTAACCGCAGCTTCAGCCTACGTCACCTCTCACGAATCCCTCACAAATGGGCTGGGTGAACTTTGTAGAGAGCCGTTGGCATGTTTTTACGGGAGGTGGAAGCCAGCGCAAAACAGCTGTCAGCCGCATTCTGTGGTTCAAGGTGGCATTAATCAACTGCAGCCTTCGTTGCTCGTACTCTACCCCCGCATGATACCCTACGAGTTCTGGGAAAGTTTGAAGGTTCTGCATTTTTCTCCGACCCATTGCCGAGCTCTTCTATACCTGAAGCGATTCTTTGCACGCAAAAACATGGAACTACGGAAAGATCTTGAAGGGTGCTGGCGTGCGCTTTGACTCTGTCCACGTTTGCCTGTTTTTCGAGGGTAGCTGAGAGTTCTCTTCCCCATGATCCCACGGTGATCGACAAGCTCCTTGTCTCAGTGCCTCAAATATTTTGCCGAAGGGTTCATATTGTAAACAAAGAGCTATGGGAATGGCGTAAAAAAATTGTCGCAGCTCCTCTGTGCTGTGGGCTAGCTCGAAACACATAGAGCAGACAACTACAAGGAGACGAAAATACGGGCTCTGCTGTGATAATGCTTTACGTCAACTTCGGTAGTGAACAGAGCTATGGTATGCCCCGTTGGGCGTTGCACAGCAGTGGGTAATCAGCCGCAGCGGCTGTTCAAGGAACTGTGGGCTCCGCAATTTCAGGAGGCCGGTGCCACTTCTGTTGGTTCAGGAGTTCCCACGGAGCACGCCGTATCCCTGCAGGCAAAATGCGCAGGCTTTATTCCATCAATCGGATGCTTCTGATGAATCTTCATGGCCTGCGGATCACAGCCATAGCGAAGGAGCTGCTTTTAGGCTTGTTCGTTCGGCACTTTACTTTATGGAGCACTTACATTCTGGGTGGAGCTAGTAGATGATCAGGACGGAACTTCGTACTTGAGCATACAGCTCAAAGGAAATGGAAGGAACCGGTGGTACTCCACCTCATCCCAATAAAACAGCGTATAGTAGGCAAGTGCGCTGCTCAGCTGCAGGTACACTCTACCTAGGCGACAGTCTTGGATAAGGTTTTCATACATTTCATGAGACGTCACAACGTGATTTAGACTAATCAGGAGCTCCTTTGCTTTGAATCCGCTCCCCTGAGCGTCGGCCATTGGATGGAATGCAACAGACAGCAGGTAAGGGCCACTGTTTGCCCCTACCGAAGGTTGTTTTGGCTGCTCCTTTGGTTCCGTTGCTGTATTGTTAGCACTGCTGCTACCTTCATATGGTTTGCCCGTTAACCCTTCCTCTGCATCTGTTGAGCTGTCACCTAGCGCTCCTATAATTGGGCTTGTTGAACTGCTTTTGAGCATCCTGTCTCTAGGGTTGGAGCCGAACAGGCGTTGAAATACGGAAAGGAGCTTCCGATTCCCCGAGATGCCGACAGGCACCATGCTTGAACTCCAGTCATTTTCGCTTGCTGTTTGTGAAGGCTCAAGAAACGGCATAGGAACTGGACCAGCAATGTCGATCATCTCCTCAGGGTCGGACCGACCGCCTTGCCGTTTATCTTCCTTCAGCGTTGATGCTTGCCCAACCTACAGAAATAAGCATGATAAGTTTTGAAGGTCGTAGATGAGCTCGTGTGCTGCAGCGACAAAGCTTGTCTGGGAAGCTCTTTACTCGCTTCGCCTCTGGACAAAGCAGTGCACGCCACGCAAATGGCATAGTATGGGAACGCCGGTGCTCGTAGTTTCGCAGTCTGCTAGCTAGTAAAGACAACATCTTCTAGCTTAACAACGAGTCAGCCCACGTGGGCTGCAGACTTTCAGTTTAAGTCGTGCCTGCCATGTTTGTCATTTCATTTTTGTCCTACCTGCCCTGTACCCGAAATGGCATCTCCGCTAAGAGGCAGAAAGGAACCCCAGAACATCTTCGACGAAGCCCCACTTGCCAACGGGGGCAAATCGTGCAGTGCCTGATCAACACTGTGGTAGACTGCCTCAATCGTCGATTCACAGGCACGATCAAGCGCTGGGGGAAGCAAAGCAAATGTGGGTCCGAGTGACTCAAAATGAGTAAAACTTTCCGCTGCATTAGTGAAGTGTGGAACAACTGTAAGAAACTCATTTCTCGTTGGCACTGTGGCAGCATTCCCGGAAAAGCTGCCCTTACTCGTGCCCGAGAGGAAGTTCCTTTCTAAAGGTGGAGCATCCTCAATGTTTGCTGGTTTGAATGGGGAGGAAACGCTTGCATTTCCTCTCTCTGAGTCAAACGACCGTGGAGTGAAGCATGACTCTTCTGCCGTCCTGCCAGCTAGCGGGGCAGGGATATATTCCAATATAGACACGCCGGATTCTGTCCCCCCAAAGAAGCCTGTATGCAAGCCTTGGCAACACAGGATATCGGAGTTCGGCAGAGCAAACCAACTCACACATTGCTGCTGCGAGGCTTTTCAGCCACTGCACTTCTACCTAGATAGTGCTGGCTCAACACATTTTTGAGGGTTCAACAGGATTTGTTCCTTTGTGCGAAGTGCTCACTTTCACTATGAAGTGGAAGCAATAGTTTAAAAGCCCCTTTCAAAACTGCCACAGGCTCTTTGGCCTCTGGTTGAGTCTGAGCCACTTCCAGAACGAGAAACGCAGCGCTGCGTGACGTTTCTTCTTGAGTCTTCTCCACATAGCCTCGTGCAGGAGTCTCGTCGGTGTCATGAGTAATCTTTCTTTCATGTTTGACCAGGTGTCCCAGGGACTGAGTTGTACGATTGCACAATGAAGACGCAAAGAAGTCTTCGGTTTCCCTGCTCGCATCTGCAAACCGGCTGGCCAGCGGAAATGCAGCTATGATAGCAGCTCCTCTGGAAGGTCGCGGCCGCACGAGAGAGCACCCAATGGCGAAGCCAAGAGCAAAGGCCACAAATGCGAGGATGCACGCTAACCCAAGAAGCGTGGAAAGGGAAACGACAGTCGATTCCTTGGCGCTCTCTGAGGACATGTAGTAGCCCAGCAGCCAGGCATGCGATGGGAAGTCTCTCTATGTCACTGCTGCTGCTACACATAGACTCAGGGCATTGCTTTGCTAGCACTAATATTGCAAAAGTTAGGAGGATTCTCGGCACTTAAGAGAGTCAATTGTTTGGTCGCACCTTCCTTCTCAGAGAGGCTTCTTGGCGTTCTTCCGTCTGTAGCTAGCAACACTGATGTCGACAGAACTGGATCTGTCAGTGCAAGATAGAGCATGGCATTAGCTCTTTCCGGTATTTGATTTTCTCTGGATGCGCCAAGTCTCCAGGGCCTCCAGTGTTTAGGGTATTTCCCAAAGGCGCAGCGGCTTTTGAGTTGTGTAGTTTTGCCGTAGGGAAGCTGCCTCGTGTCTGTACCACGCAACGAGAGGATGGTAGACTGCCGTGGAGAACCATCATTGTCAGGGCTTAGAGAGAGGTCTTCATATGTGGATTCGCTGGTATGTGAATAAGTGCCAGAGTGAAGCGACTTGCACGAGCTGTCGCTGTAGCTGCTCTCCAGGTCGCTGGGATGATAAGAAGACCATGAAGCTGTTGGGAACGCTAGGGGTAGCGGTTGCATGCCACCGCCTTCCTGCGTATCCTTTTCTTCTTTTCTCGAGCTATCGACGCACTGTGTGCTGCCTGCTGCATCGTCTCTCCGATTGCGCGTTCCCACCAACAGTTCCTTCCGCATGTCACTTTGTCCCCTGCAACAATGTTCCTGTTGGCAAGGCTCAGAATGATCTCTTGAAAGTTATGCGTTGAGCTGTTTGAAACAAAGTTTAGTTTCCCAGCGGTGTCCCAGGAGACGAGGTTCTCTGCAGGACCTACCAGACGCCGCCCGACAATGTGTGTAAGGAGGGAAGTACCCCCACAAGTGCGCCAAGGAATCAGAAAATTTGAGCTTTTATTTCGATCACACTAAAGTGAAAATTCAAAATGAGTCTGGGAAAGACAAAATCCCCTCTTCCGTACAGCGGTTCCGCTGGGGATCTCCCGGGGACAGTGAAGCGGCCAATGCCCTTTTTTCTTGCGAACGAAATGGGGAATTATTTGTTCATAATACAAGCATTTGAAAGTGAAAAACAAATAAAGCAATGATTTCTTTGGTTTCGTGTCGATGCAGCTGACCTAAAAATCAAGGAGTCCGTGGGTCATCTAAAGGTAGCTTTAGGTACTTTTTGAGTACGCTAATTCGGCGTCACTCCCACTCAACTTGTTTGCAGCTTTATATTTTAGTTGATAATTTTCTTTTGCGTTGGATCCGATTAATAGACTTCTGCCACCTAGGACAAAGAGAACCAAAACATGGGTCACCACGTGCCAGCAAAAGTCACTAGCCCGCTCAGCTGTGCTCACTGCAAACAGTGCCCTGACAAAGGGATTGAGCACCAGAACGTCCACGAATAAAGCTTTTGCCTTTTCAGTGGTGCACAAAGAGCGCTAGTGGTACTGTGATTTTGGCTAGAGTATCACATTTTCAAGAATAGACGGTGAGTAACAGGATGACAGGCCTCTTTGCTCGCAGAACATTCCCAGGAACATGATTACTTACCAAGTGACTAACAAAGAGCTCAATGAAAACGCAGCGAAGCGGAATGATATTGTTCTGTTTATTGAGGCAGCATTTTCCTGGCCCACTATGGCTATAGCGGCAAGTGTGCAGCAAATTTTGTCGAATAAGCAAGCTCTGCGCTCCATTTCCAGGAAGAAATTCCTCTTTAACTCGAGTAATTTAGCATGATATTTTCACATCGCAGCATAATATGCCCATGGCTAGAGAGCTGTGGTGTGTATGCTCTGACGCCCTAAGGCCAGGCGAGCGATAAGGGAGTCCGGGAGTTGTCTTGTCAGCGGAATTGCCTAATCATCAAGCGCATGAAGATATACAGACAGATTATGGTTTTCGCATGTACGGGAACTTGGCATTGGATATGGGAGAGGCCAGACACTGACTGTTTCACTGTCACTGACATGGTGTCACTTGTTCAGCGGTCATCTGGTTCTGATGCTCGCTGCCGCCAAAAAGCAAAGAAATAGCACATTGGCCTACTTCTCTCGAGTTCGAAAACGTGCGTCTAAGAAGATTTGGGAATATAACGCTGCTGTGACTCTCCCGCTAGCTTTGGGGCAACACTGTGCTGGCTTGACGCTGTCTTGCCGCCTGTGTTTCAGCTAGCTTTGACCTGAAAACTTGTACGACGTATACTCTGTCGCTTTCCCCGCACAAGGCTTCTTTAAATTATTTTTGGAGTTGTCAAATACAGAAGGCTAAGCCCGTGCCCTCCCACAGCGGTCAAGGCTGGAGTTTGGCAGGGTCGGCAAACCGATTATCGCATGAGAAGAATCTTTCCTGGTTTTTCTCTAGCGTCTGCGTCTTGACAATGGGCAGCGCGTCCCAGGAATCTCATGCGCCTAATTGTTGGGATTGATTTATGGGAGTTACTCTATGCTGTCCAGTGGCTTATAGCGAAGACGGTGGCATCTGCTTTCCCGTGTGCTCTACAGTAAAATTGGCTCTACATTCCCAGGACGTTCCCGTTTTCATTTTCCTGTTAAAGTGGCAAGCTTTTAATCTTGGCCCTGGCTGGCTTTTGAAGCGAGAGCTTTTGGCGGAGAAAAGGAGGACAACAGTGGCGTTACAAGTCAGGCTATCTCACCCAATTCCGGCCCAGTATTCGGCTAAGCAGGGCCAGGGCAAAAATGTTTTCGCGGGTGTTTCGACGAGGCCGAAGTGAACAAGTCAACGGTGACTGCACTGCACATAACAGCGATGATGCTTGCCAATTTGAAGGCAACGCGCCAGCTGCTGCTCGTGCCCGTCAAAAAGAGAGAGCGAGCAATTCACGGCCACATGATGCATCCGATTATGAAATAAAGAATGGCCATTCCTGTTCTAGAGAGCTGCACAAAAAGCGCTGCAGCAAAGATCTGTCGGAACCAGCATCGCGCTCAAATGGGACTTCACCCGCAGGCAGTGCCGCTTCAAACAGCTACGCGGCACTTGCAGGGCGCATACGCTGGCAAAGTTCAGGCTACAATCTTGAGGATATGAGCTCCAGCGCGGATAAGAGCCGCCGTAATTTATACTGTGCTGCTTGTGGTGAGCTTGGGGGGGCTCTGTTGTGCCACGAGTGCAGTCCACGGCCTGATGCTTTCCTTCTTCATTACAGAAGGTCATACATGTACAAGGCTTTGGATGTACTTTTGAGCATAGCCGAATTTTTTGGCCTTCAGCTCCGTCGAGCATGGTTTTTGTTGCGGAGGTACTTGTTCACTGGCGCCGAAAAATCACAGCCAAGTGCCGCTGTGCATGAAAAAGCCGACGCTTGCGCTTTAAGCAAAAGTTCCCTGCCTCAAGGAAGCGCAAGCATAAGCCGTCGAAGACGTTTGGCAGGCGACGCCCAAAGCAAAAACTTACGAGGAACTGATTGTGTCCAGGCACGGCAACACCAACAAGAAGACACTCTGCTAACTCGATCTAGAGACACTGCTGAGAGGGCTCAGTCGTCTCCAAAGCAAAACGAGCCACAGAAGCTTCAGCTGCACAGCCCTACAAACGTCACCCACACGTTTTGGGCCATGGTAAACTTTGTGGAAGATATGCTGATAAGTTGGTCTTATGCACATCCCTTACTAGTCTGGGCAGCGTGGGGCATCCTGAGCCTTTGCTTTTACTGCGTTCTGAACTGCCTGTTATGGCCAATTCTGATCGTCCTCTTTTTAGCGCGCCGGATTCGATTCTATGTCTGGGCTGTTGTTGTAAGGTGGCGCAATTCCATCTTTTTTTCTGAAGACCTTGAAGCTCGTTTAGCAAAGCAGATGAGTGCTTCTGATGGCGCAGTTCGCCTCCCACTCTCTCAGCAAGCTACTAAACGAGGCAACTCTACTGAAATATTGTCTTTGCTGGAGAGCCAAGAGAAGCTTTTCTTTTCCATGCCATGGATGGCGGTAACAGGTTTCTCTTACTGCGAAAGACTAACATATCAAGAGCTCTGCATGGCTGTCACCCAGAAGCTCCTTAAGCCCAAAAGCGAATATGCGCGCTTAGCTAGCTGCAACGGGAGTGATGCCTTGCTGAGCCATTTACCATTGTCGGCGTTTCTGCATCCGCGGCTTCTCGCGAAAGTTGATCGGGTGATGGGGAGATACTGCTGGGTTCGGCAGCCAGGTTTCCACGTGACGCAGCAGGTTGTGCGCTTTACAAAGAAATCCATCGACGTCTTCCGCCAACAGTGCTTTGGTGACGAGCAGGGCATGCAGGATAGTTGCAACCCATTGAAGTGTTCCTGTTCATGCAAGTCTGCAGCAGACTGCAATTGTTTAATGGACGAATCAGATGTGATATGCTTGGTCAATGGGGCGCTTTCGCAGCCTCTGGACCCGACGAAACCCCTCTGGCAGTTCCTCTATCTAGAGAATGTCATTGTGCCCCCGGATCCTACAAGCAATCCCTTAGAGAAGGAACGCATTGGAAGTGTGGTCGTGTTCCGCATGCACCACGTAGTGGGTGACGGGATATCCATCACGCGCATGTTTTTGAAGGACTTCCTGTGTTCAATGCCGTCAAGCCCAGGGGGTACGATCATCGAGAAGCCCATGGCCCACAAAGAAATGGACGACAAACCAACCCCGTCAGAAAAGAGTGCTCCTGCTGAGGCCAGTGGGGAAACCTGCCATGGCCAGAGGCCCCTGGAAGAAACAAATGATACAGAAGACGCCGTTAAGACGCTTGAAAATGGTAGCCCTGCAATCGCTGCCAGTACAAGTACTATGTGGACAGCATCAGGCCCTTCGCAAAAGGCTTCAACTGAGGCAAGCGACGCGAACGAGAAGCTCTCACGTCCGGCGCAGGAAGCATTGACATTCCCAGGCACTGTTCAAGCAGTGGCCCCTCAGAAGCCACCCGTCTCTGTCTGCTCTGTTCCCGACACAGCCTTTTGGAGGCTGTTAGTGGCGGCCCGTTTCGCTTTCCAGCTTCCATTTTATGGAGCAGCTATGGCTATGCTGCTGAGTTATGACGGGCTACTAAAGGCTCCTCGGAGCGGCAGTGCGCACAAAACAAGGATTTCTCACCCCATCCGTCTACCTTTAAAAGAGCTAAAGGACGTTAAGAGCCGCCTTGAGGTTGTCCTGGCTCACCAGCAGGCGACCGTTGAGTCGCCAGTTTCTCCGTTTCCCAGCTTGACTAAATTGCTTTCCCGGGTTTTTAGGTCTTCTAAGGGTTCTGAGGGGAAGCCCCACCTGCCCGAGAAACAGAACGGCCAGGGAGCAGCCACAGTCACTACGAAATGCGCCAGAGCATCAAGCGGTGCCCAGGAAGGTATGAAAACTGTTCGACTGACTCTTAACGACATATTTGCTACGTGCATTGTGGGAGGGTATCATCGCTGCACAAGTCGGCCGAAAATCGGGACAGATTCCAATGGAACTGATGACACAAAGGCCGCAACGCAACCTCCGAGTACTAATCGCAGAAAGGAACAAATAAACTTTGTAGTGCCTGTGAACCTCCGTCGGCGTGATGAGGATGCGATGGATCTCCGGAATCGCTTCGCGTCCCTTGTCATTCAAATGCCGATCACCCCTAATGGCAGCTCATTAGAGAGGCAAGCATTCTTTCTTAACTTCTTATCCTGTTCAAAGAACAGTCTCCCGCTTGATGAAGATCAACACATCAATTCTGTGGTGTCAGCCGTTTAGTCTACATCATTTAATATTCTGGTACACACAGAATGTTCTGCGTACGATGATTCCAGAATGCGTGGAGTCCATGCGGCACTAAGGCGGTCACTGCGAAGCTTTGCCCTACCGATGGTCATGTGCCTAGAACGCTGGCTTTACGCCACTTGGCCCGACTTGCTGATGGCTTACTTTCTTCGTCTAACGCATAAGGTACGCATGGTATTTGTTCTTGGGGATGATGGTAAGGTTGCGCTTATTGAATATTATATTGTACTCATCTTTGATTCTCTGATTAGCTTGTCCCAGTACAGAAAATGCGACTGTTTCACCTTGAGCAAGTGCGAACAAACAGTGTGCTTCCTGGCATTGCCGCAGCTTATGGTATTTCGCGTGCTCATGCACTGGTGGTTGGTCATGGCCTTTAGGTTCGCACATGCTGTACCTTTAATTAAATGCAATTTCCAAATGCAGTTTGCTCTATCTCAGATAAAGTGGCCAATGCATGTCGCCTGATTGTTTGTTTACGAGTGGTAACGGTCCATAGTGACGTGGCTGCTCCCGGTGTGCGCAGATCTCGGTAATCTTTAGCAGCGTCATTGGACCGGCCTCGCTGCCCTATGTCCATTGCAGCCGCCTGCACGGCATGAACTTCGTCGTTCCGCAGCCTGGAGAGGCAAGCGCGAACTGGCGTGGTGCCATGAGACCCTGCTGTGTCTGCTGCAGATGCCTGGGAGCTAATGTTTGTCAGCTATGTTCCTCTTTGGGACTACGTGGCAACACATTAACCCCCCCTTATTTTCTCTTTATGCTGCTGTGGTCGTAATGCAGGTGGGTGTGGGCGTTTCGGCTTTCTCCTGCGGGGGAACAGTGAGCATCTGCGTCTCAGCAGACGAATCTGTGGTGGAGGATCCTGCTATTTTGCGGCAGTGCATCCTTGACGAGTACGAGTCCTTACGAGAAGCCTGCAGGGAGTTTGACTCACACCAAGCTTAGTAAGACCGGAATTTGCCGGTCTTCCAACTAAAGGCACCAGGTTGCGGCAGAGAGATCTAACCCAAGTTAATGCACTTCTCTTACTTCAAATTTTCTCCTGCCTCCACTTTTGCATCGCAATTCAAGTTGCCTGACACACATTAAAACACGTTGCACGTTTATGACTTTCGTGGGCTTAGCAGCCAACAAGTGTATTCTCAGCTTTACGAATAACTGCAACCTTGGCCAATTACGTTGGCTCACAAATTGGCCTCTTAGGTGAAGACCAACAAAATGTCGTAAACAGCATGGATGCCCACATGACACTTTGTCTCTAAAGCTATGAAATACGAATTGATACATCGGTTATGAACACAATGGAGGCACAAAATCTCACAGACGCCTCAACACACGTAAACGAGGCGCTTTGCCGATCTGCTTAGATATCGACAAAACATATTAGTGATGCAGCTTTTGCCGACAACTGATGCCATGTGGCTTTTTTAATGAGCTTTAGTGTGTAGAGTGGCAAAGTTTGCGAGAGTTGCTAGAGTTTTCGTTACTGCCATTTAAAGCTGGGTGTTCATCCATTGTTGCCTCTTTAGCCTACTCTCTCAGCCCATCACAAGCTTCGGCTAAATCTGCACAAACTCGCTCATACTAATTAACTAGACTCTAGATATCTGAGAACTGCAGAAGTTTAGGTACCTATAGACGGGATTTTTAGCGGTGTATTGCAAGATTTAGTAACCACATGATACACCAAAAGGCGGTTAGTCTGCGCGTAGTCATGTTGCCCTTGCGTGTTGACAACTCAGCAGCACAGAATGTGGATCTGCTTTTTGCTTAGTGAGCCAGATGCGGCAGGTTGTGCTGGAATTCATAATATTTGAGAGTTTGCATACGGTTGCCGGACCACTTTGGCCTATGAAAGCTCAATGGATTAATAATAGTGAAAGCTGGAAACCCGCAAGATGACACTGATCCCAACACAAAAATATTCGAAAACACGGTGATATGGACATTTAGACACAAATGGCCTCTTGGCAAAGATGTAACGCTCCTACCAGCAAAGTGCAGGGCCGTTACAGTCTTCTTGCGTCATAGAGCACTACTGACTACGGTTCCCTCAGTGGGATGAAACTTGAAGTGCTATCGAAATCAAAATATGTGCGAATAATACTTTGGTTGATTGTTATCATGCATTCTTCATGTTTGCAATCTCAGAGCTAAATTTCCTCAACTCAATGTACGACATAATCGGAGGGAACTAACTGATTTTCTGCTTTTGGTTTCAGAAATCAACAGCCTCGCTGGTTTTTGCTTGTCTTTGTAAGAATAGGTTGCAGGCAACAGCTTTTGTAAATTATAAGCTCATTAGTAGTACAATATTGGGCTCCTCCATCCCCAAAAGGTTATTACTCTGGCAGGCAGTTTTGGCCGTGTGAGTTGAACCTATGCTTGCACAGGCTCCGGCTTAAATAGGGCTCCTCTCTGGATCAAAAAGAATTACATTTGAAGAGTCTTTTCAGTGTATCCAAGGGATGGAGACCCTAAATTTTATCATACCCACAGATCGATTGCAGATATTCACATGCTAAACCACAAAACCTGCACACTCTTTGCGCCTAATCCTCAATTATATCCTAAAGTCATAGCCAAAGTTCACAATTCAAGGGAACCAAAAATATAAAATCGAGTTACAGTTCATGCAGTCGTGGATGCTGGACGAATTATGCCGCATCGACTAGAAGTTCTTGAAACTTAGGGAAACGCCGGCTCTCCCCTCCACTATAAGATCTTGATACCAATGGAAAGATTAACTATGAATGTATCGTGAGCTCAATGTATGAATGCAATTGTGTGCCTTAGATCGGATAGGTCTTAGCTGTTCCGTGACCTGCAAAGAGAGTAACGGGCAGTGCGCACCTTTCTCATTTCTTGTTTGCCAACGAACAAAGTACACAAAAGGCATCCGAAGGATAGTTTACTGTAAAATATCTTACTATTTGAATTTTAATTTGGTTAAAAGTTAATTAATCTCCTGTGGGGCTGGCCAAGCAGCTGCTAGGCCCTGCTGAGGGGAAGAACGTATAGAGGAAGGCGGCTCTTACTTCCAGCTAGTAGCTCCGGTGTCCGCTGTGCAAATTACTTCTACTTTGTGCTCTTGATGTCTTTGATTTTCTTGAGGACCTGCAGCCTCCCTTGCCGCAGGATCCTGTTGTCGCCTATGAGACATGCCGATTCTCCCCTTCCCAATGGCGATCCGCAACTAGCGTAGCACCGGCACACACAAGTGCAGGGATAGGATAGCTGTAACTGGGTCTGTGAATCGTTGGTCCACCTACATTTTGAGAGCTTGTAGTCAGATACATGCGGCGGCAACGCTGCACGACGCACGGAGTCCACCACGCCGTACAGCCCTCCACTCTAAGCTGCACGGTGAATAACTGCACTGCAGTGCGACAGAAGATGCTGTTCCCCGCGGCTGTGCGCACTTTGGCAGGACTTGCCACAGCCACAATGGTGCTGGCGCTGCTACCTGTGAGCTGCAGCGAGGCGCCAGCGGCCCAAGACGAGCCCTCACTGGAAACTCGATTTGAAGTTTCATCTGAGGCGTACCCAACCCCCAAGGCGCCGCCTCCCACAGAGGTCACTCGAGCCACGAGAGAAGAAGGAGACAACGCGACTGTGGTGGCCTCTCCTGAAGCCTTGAAGGAGAAGCTGCAGGCAAAACAAGCAGTGGTGTCGGCATGGGAAAGTCGCATCGGCTTGCTGTTGGAGAATGTGGCTCAAGAGAATGCCAAGAAGAAAGAACCCTTCATGACAGGGGAGAAAGGGATCAAAGTCGTTTCCCTCACATTTTTCTCAGTCGCCTTTGTGGCCCTGCTCTTCATGTTCCTCTACGAATTCAAGAGCCGTCCTCCCTCAGCCGACACAATCTTCGCTCCTACCGTTCAGCCTCAGGAGGTACCTGAGGCTGTGTCAGGTCTTCTTGCAGCAAACAAGACAGTTGTATTCCTTGCGGAGTGAGCGGCCTTTGATATCTAGTTCTCAGTGAAAGCATGAAACTAACGAACCCTCCGATTGCGAATTCTGCAAAATCAGATATATTTTAACGCATGTCTTCGCAGTGACAGTACAGAAAGCTGTTGTGGGGGTAAATCCACTTGGCAATGCCTTCACTCCTTTAACCCCTTAAGGTTCTCGTGCTGCCTTAGTGTTGGTGCGTTTGAGGAACTGAGTAGGCGTGTGAGGTCTAATTCCTACAATGCGTGCACTTAGGGCTGAATTAAATTGCTGAGACTGCAAGAGTATACTGAAGGCCCTGGCTGCTGACTCTGTCCTTTTTCTTGTGCTTGTTTGTACAGTGACTGCCCAGTCTGCCTGACGGGCATCAGGGACTTGCAGAAGCATGGACAGAGCCCCGTGAGTTTCTTCTAGCACTTTTATTGTATCTGACTATATGCGTACTCTCTTTGCAGCGGAATTGGTGGAGATGTGTTGAAAGCTTGACAGCAGGACTAGAAACAAAAGTGATTACGCATATACACATTATAGGAATGATCCCCATGCCGCGTCGGGCATGTAATGCATACGTGCATACCAATTCTGTACTTTAAGTGGACTTTCTCCTTTATATAGCTGCATGAGGGGACCAAAGAGTTGTGCCATGCCGGCTGTTGCAGGCTTTCTGACAACTCGCTGCAGAAAGAATAGGCTGGCCTTTGACTTACTGCTGTTAAATTGCGCTCTGCTGCACTTACAGGTGGTAGTCCTTCTCATGGGCCATCGGCTTGAACGCCAAGTGCGAAGTTACTTGCAGGATCACTACAGCGTCCGTCGATTGCCCGCAATCTTCTTCGAGGGTGTCCCCTTTCTAGATTTCGCCAGCGCTGTAAGCTACGGAAAAAGCACAAGTTTTGACTCTGAACACATCACGCCGAGGCTGCTATGGCCGTTTGCGTCTCACTTTGGCCAGGAGCACATCGTTAGAGCGCAGAAATGCATATGCCGACAAAGATTCGTGGCTGAATGTATGCTGTGCTTTTCTTTTCAGATTAGATACATTTCAGAGCCCGCTGTTGCGGGAAGTATGTGAAAGGCAGTGAGGTTTGAAAGTACAGTGGTGACGGCGAATGGTGAACTATGCTTCGACGGTCACCATGGCATTTGTGCGGCACTAGGAACTCTGCAGCAGTGAGTAGCAGCAGATAGGATTCTTCGCATCTGCGTTCCAGACGGCAGATCAGGGACTGCCGTCCATTTCCGCACCAAAGCCGCGATTGTACGCTCCGAGGGGCTGGACTGCTAGGATTTTGGAATAGAACAAGCAGCACTTGTGTGCTACCTAGACCCAACAGACAGGTACAGGAGCTTCCCACGGAATCTGCGCGGGAAAAGATTGAACGTGCTTACACGAATGTTGCACGGGGAGGCAATGAACGAACATGGCAGAGGGCCACCAATCAGAGGCTACTGGATGGGAGCACTACCGCCTTGTACTGGCAGACATGCGCTACGCCTAGCAACTTCCCAGCTGGCTGAGAGGCAAGGCAGCTAGCTGCCTATGCTCTCAGTTACAACGATTCTGACTCGTAGGGCCTCTCAACTCCTCGTGCTACATGCAGCTAGCTAGCAGACTACCTAGCTGCAACCAAATACTGTTTTGTGGCGGTGAAGCGGGTCTCGCACAGGTACGGGCAAAGAGTACTTAGTTTGCCCAGCGGCGCACCAGTTCCGCCTGCTTTATCCAATTCACGGAGCTGCAGCCCTGAATAGCAAAATGGCCAGCTGCAACCTTTGTGACTCATAGACTAAATCTGTTTAGCTTGTGATGTTTTAACATGTTTTAAAATAAAAGATGCATCCTATGAAAAACGTATCAATCGTTGTAGAGGCATTAGCCGCCCGTAGTGTCACCACTGTCGTAGTCTGTTGAACAGCCGTAGGAAACTTATGACACAAAAAGTTGACAGCCAGCAGATAGGCTTAGTCAGTGGATTGATTTAAAGAAACCACACCATAGTCAGCCAATGGACAGGCCGCCAGTGGCCAAATTTTGGGCTTGAGGAGCGTCCACGCAGATGCCACTGAGCCACCTTTCTATTCTTTGTATTGAGGAATCCAAAAGAAGTGTGCATCGCGTGCACTGCTGCAGAAAGCAGCGGGCCCTCAGGTTCAGTGCAACGTCATCTAAATATGGAACAATTGCGCGCAATGTACTCCCGTCCTCGCCGTTCCTCTCAGGTGCAGCTTTAGGGATAGCGTTAAGGTCAGGCCCCTGGCTGTGGGGCTGCTCTGCTGCAGCTGTCGATAGAGTCCCCCACAATGAGGCAAGGCCACGCCTGCTGCAGATGTTTAGGCGGAGTGGGACTAGCCTACGGGCAAGTATTCATGCAGGTTCTAGTTGCGTACCGCGAATGTGAGCCCCTTCATGAGACCTGATGCATATCTGTGATTGCCTTTACTTCCATGTGCGCGTATCCACTGCGAAATAACGGCATCAACGAAATGACGAACTCTGATTTGAGTGATTTCAGCAAACGTGCTTTACCTGCCGTGGCAGAGAGCGCCAAGGAGGCTTGCCAAGTTGGGGGCCCTCCCTCAATGCAGCTGCGAATATACACACTGAGTACGCTGTATAGGTTCACTTTCTTCGCTCTTCCAGTCTAGATGCTGTAAAAGAGCATTTATAATTTTCCACGTCATACAAGCGTGCATGTACTTCTGTCGACTGCACGCTCTGTACCGTATTTGCCAGTGAGCTTAGCTTCCTGAATGAGATACTTCAGAGCATCCCAACGCACGTTTTCAGGGAGTGTGTGTGGCAAGTGCGGCCCGACTCGGCTTTGCTGCAACAGTACAGAAAGTGGAGCTCCATAAAATGAGCAGCAGCCTACTAATTATGTCCGATCAGCTCCGACAGCAACGTAGCTGCTCAGTTTTATCACATTTCAGTTTGATACCAACTGCACCAAGCCAATTGAGGTCTCAGTACAACTGAGGGAGTTAACAAGGCAGTCAGTTAGCGGTGCCAGGTCTCTGCTGGAACGACCCGGCAACGGGATGCGCGAAAACTCTATTTTAGGTTTTCCTGCAACTAGCATTGAAAAGATAGAACTGAAGTCAGTGCAAGGAACAGTTTCAATTAGTTTAATACTCTCATATTCGTCTGCATGCAGCTTCTGCCTAAACATGGGGGCCCGAGCAATGTCGTGTGTCCTTGGCCATTTTGGGCTTTGAGGCGTCCTTGTCTCTTCCCAAATGACGTTAATTAACTAGAATATATTATAATTAGTAATTATCCCTATGATCGCTTCGTGAAACACCTACACCGAAAGATGCACAGTTGTTAGCGGGCAGGGCACGCTCTGTTGTATGGCGTGGGTCTCGATGACCTAACTTTGAAACCCCTTTTCTTTCAGTTGCGTTTTTTTAGCGCGAAAGCAAAACATTGAGTATTTATTTTTGGCAGCACTTTCACTAAAATCTTGAAGTGCCGCGCTCCGCCCCATCTGAACTCTAACTCCAGCCGCTGATTTAGCCAAGCTGACACCTATCCAACCTGCGGGTTCTGTTTTGTGGACGAATTTCGTCGCCATTACTGTAGAATGGTTGCCGCTCGCATACGCGCACATGTTGATTTGTTTTTCCAATGTGACGGAGGTGCTGTAGAACCTTGATTTTGTCTTGTGCATTCCTGCACGTGCCGGTTAGTTCTCGTGATGTGACGCGGGCGCAGCAAAAATTCAAATTCGTCTCACAATGGCCAGCGTGCAATCGGTAAGCTGTGTGTTGGCTGACGTGGGCAGCGCCGCCTGCGCCAGTGGCTGCTTCCCATCCGTGTCTCTCGCCAGTCTGTCACTTCTGAGCAATCGCTTCGCATCGGACCCCAAGCATGTAGCAGCAGTCATTGCATACGGCAGTGCCACCACCCACAATCCCCTAGCCGATGCCTCTCAATCGGGCCAAGCCTACAACCATGTGGAAATCCTACACAACTTTCATCCCATTGACTGGCCCCTCGTTGAGGAACTGGGCAAGGTCCTAAAGCCAGGAGGACAGCCAGCGGACCCCTTGGATGCATGCATCGTCGCAGCCGACCTTTTCCAGAAGGCGTTTAACAAACAGATTCAGGAAAATAAAGTGAGAGGCACTCACTGGAACAGCGGTTCCACGGGCCAGACATAGCCCGAGGTGGAAAGAAACCTCGGTCAACGGCGCTCTTGTCAATTCTCATTACTCCCCTTAACTCTTTGTCCTTTTTTCCGTTTTCCTGTGCACTTCAGTGCTTACTTTGTGCCGTTATGAGCCTTGCAGATTCACTTGCAGCCACTTGTGGAGAGCTAGCTGGCAACGAGCTGAACAATTAAGTGGCTGGCAAGTACACTGGTTCAGCTAACTTCTGTCTTCTTTGTGTATTTTGAGCTCAGATTGAATGCATTTTTTACCTGCTCAGTGGCCCTCAGCCATTTGAATATGACTCGGACGCACAAAGTGTTCGCCAACACATGACGGAGACCCACATCCGCGTTGTGCGCGTTCTTGCGGGTAAGATGCAACAGAGCTGGCTCTGAACTAGCTAAGGAACAGGTAACGACTGAGGTAACTAAAGAGTAGGCCTCCAGTTACCTAACTAGAGGGAGAGCTGCTGTCAATAGGCGTTGTTTTAGCTACCTATGTGACTAGTAGTGTGCTCTTCAGCTTACTACAGTCCGGATGAAGCAGAGTAGGGCAAAGCTACTTTAGATGTCACAGAAAAATGCACGCAGAAATCGCAAGCCATTTATCTGCAGATGAGCGGACAACGGTAAAGAGGGTCACCTCCACTCAACTCCTGAGCAGAGGCACTAAGCCTTTTTGCTTAGGCACTTTACGGTGTCCTTAGTTTGAGCATACAACCGATAGTTGTGTTTGGTATTTGTGCTGTTGCTCTTGCAGGTGAACCTCCTGCTGGTGAATCAACTGGTGACTTTTTCGACCGTGAGGTCTCTATGAAGGACTTCATTGACTTGTGCCGGCTGTACGTGCCGGTGAAAAGCAAGAAAACGGTCACCAAGTGTCGCATTCCCCTCACTCTGTCTCCTTCTGTTAAATTGTCTGTTTTTGTCTACATTCTTGCAAAGAAAGAGCCCTTGCCTTCTCTGCGGAAGCGTCTGAAGGTCTGCCGGAATACTGCAGGCTCAGAGCGGGAAGGTCCTGCCTATTATGTGGCTATGACACCCGAGAGGTTTTTGTACCGCGCCGATGACCCAGAAAAACGGCCTATTCACATGCCTTCGAAGAAGGGAGCTGCTGCCGCTGCTGCCGCTGATCCTGGTGCATCTACGTACGAGGAAATGCCGGCGGAAACAGAGGGGTTGGCATTCGCGTTTCCATTCGGCAAGCAGCTTGTGCCTGTCTCTCCCTTTGAAAGAGAAGCCCACTTTTCCTTGAAAACTGACAAGGGCCTTGTTCTTGTGGGAATGCTGAGGACTGCCAACATCAAGAGGTGGTGAGAAATTGCTCTCTTACACGGTTTCTGACTTTGCATATTCTGGGGTCAGCGGCTAGGTTGAATGAGCAGCAGCTGTGCCTAGGTGCTCTTTATTGACAGAGCTTTTGGCATACTATGAAAATTCTCGGACTCCTCTTCATTTTCATTTGCGTTCTCTGCTGGTGACTCCCTTATGAGTCTTTGCGGGATGGTGTCTTTTTTGCGTGGACGCCTGGGGTTTCCTTGCCTCTCCGCCGCTGCGCGTGTATGCCCTTCGCTTTGCCTTTGCCTTGCTTACTACTTTTAGCATTTATGCTGCTTCTATGTCAGCCTTTTTAAGCCCACCAGTCTCTCAGTCTCTCTGGCTGTCTTTCTGGCCGTTGTTTTTGCACTTTTTCTGCGACGTGTGGTCCTGTGGCAAGAAACTCTTCTGGTCTGCGTTGCTTCTCTGGCATATTTTCCTACATTTGGGCTGTACACAAGTGAGCCCGGAGCTTCTGCTTTGCTTTTTGTGTCTGTGTTTGCGTTAGGTGGCTGACAGGTCAGAGTGAGCTCGTAGTGGCAAGTGAGGGAGACTCGATAAGTCAAACGGCAATGTCTGCTTTGTTTTGGGCGTGTGTTCGTTTGCGTTGTGCGTTGCTATGCCGGTACACTCCACGGCAAAATTCCTTGCCTCGACCGGTGCTGCTGGTTCCCCGTTTCTCATATGCCGACGAAGACTGGGAGGAGCTGCTGCTGCAAGCACAGAACCAGAAAACTATGACAGTGCAGCGAGGGTTCTGCCTCGTGCACATTCCGTTCTCAGATGACGTTTCTTCTCCGGCCCTTCCGGTGCCGCCTGCTGCAACTCCGGACGAAGTGCAAGCGATGGAGGCCTTAATAGACTCTCTTCCGCTTTCTTTTTCTCCGGTGTCCTCGTTTTCCACATCCGCGAAACGGGCAGCGCCACATCACTGCACAGACCGCAGGCTCTGCGAAAAGATACACCCGCTCTGCGCACCCCCTTCAGTATATCCTTCCCCTGATATTGCACCGTTCTCCTCAGAGGTGCATCCGTCTTTCGTGCCAAAGTCAGCCAGGGCCTTTGCGGAGCCTAATGCCTCCGTCAACCCTCTTCTTATTCCTAATCCGACGATGCAGCGCTTCCTGAGACTGATCTCTAGCAAGATTCTAGATATTGCGACACACAACCAACAGCAGCAGCAGCAGCAGGAGCAGCGGCCGGAGTCTGGAAAGGGATACCAAGACCTGCTGAGGGCCGTTGATGATTTATTTCCGCTCACGCCATCTGTCACAGAGCCCCTAGTCAAAACGCCCGGAGAAGAGAAGGCATCGCCAGCCCCTACAGCAACAAAGCATCCAGGGGTATGCGGGGCCATTGCTGCTCTATTTCCACTTGTGGCGCAAGGACCTCTACGAGAATTTGCTGCTGCGACGACAGCAGCACGAGGAGAAGCAGCAGAAGCGCTGTCAAAAGAATTCGTAAGGAAAAATGAAGTGCTGAAACTGACAGATGTAAAATTGCAGCACCAACTGGAGCAGAAGGAGCGAGCTGAGGATGGACAGAAGGTGAAGCAAGACCCCCAACAGGACAAAGGTCCGCAGCATCCGCTGCTGCAGCAGTACGCAGTCAGGTCCATTAACCCTGTGAGAGACTTTGAGCTCATGCTCAACGTCAGAGAGATAGACTTGACTGAAAAGGCCATCTCAGAAATGCAGCAAATCATTCTTGAGCTGCTGCAGCGAGCAGAGGAGCAATGGGCTGCTGCTGGTTTATCAGGCCAGCCTGACGGCATAGGAACGCATCAGCAGGGGCAGAAACAGCCGTATGAACAGGAACAGCAAGTAAATGGCATTGCCTCACGGTACCTTGTTAAGGCCATGATGTGCCTCGAGGCATTGAGGGCCGGGTGCGTTAGGGAATTAGAGGGAAAAGCGTTTAATGCTTTTCTGCGGCAGCTGCACCAGCAGGCAACAGCCGCAGAAACAGAAAAAGCAGCACAAGCAACACCAGCTGCGCAGACACCTCAGACTGGAGCTAAGCTTTTTTGGGATTTACTCTTGTCGAAAAAGCAGATTCCCCTCGTTACCACTGACGAAGACCCCCACGCAGATGTGGCCCCGGAAGATTCTACGTGCATATACAACTTACCATTCCAAGAGCAGCAGCAGCAGCATCAGCAGCAGCAGTACTCTGGGAATGAAGCAGCGGACATTTTAGACCTAATTGAGTGAATGGAAGAAGCAGCTGTCTATTCTGTGAGCACCGACATTTTGTTTTTATCTTATTGGATGCGCACTTATGCTTTGGGAATAACATTTAACTGTTTTAGATAACTAAGACGCAGTGTTGAATTTTCCTTTTCACCGCGTCCCGCTCTGTAGACAAGCGCGTCCACTAGGCGGATGCATTCGCTCCAGTGTCCTTTAAACTTGCTTGTTTAGGCACACAATTTTTTAAAGGAAAGCTCCAACATGCACGCGTTTTTATGGATGCGCATGTGGGAAAATGCGCTCTAGGACTAAACGGTGCTTCCGTTGTTGCTTCCGTTAAGTATCGAGCCTACTACGTTATTGTTGCCATAAAGGGGTGCTCGTCGCCGCGCAACGGTGCTTGCAAGCCTTACTGACAGATGAAGTTCCCGCAGTCGAATGCCATCCTCTGCACGACTGCGTGTGTGATACACTTCTTGTACACGTGTAGACGTACAGCTTTCCTGTAAGTGCCTGCCTGCCGACTACTAGCTAGCTATTTGCATGCTTGTCAGGGCTTTTTGTCAAGCTCCCGCTGTTGCATGGATGTACACACGAATTTGTGTACCGTACGCTCATTTACACTTGCACATAGATTTATTTCAGCTTATACTCATTTTCATAAAACTGCACACTCCTATCTATGTGTCTATGGAGTTGCACACAGCGCACCAATGTACGTATAAACGTGGGTAAATGCACATTTTTGCATGTAGTTATCTCTATACGTAGACATTACGCATATGCAAATTTATAGTGAAACAAGCGAGCTTCATTGTTGCAGCAGGTCAAGAAGATGCTTCCCGAAAGGCCCGCTGCAAGTTTGTTTCCAAGAATTGCTGCAGTCAGCTGCAGGATTCTCATTCGAAAATGCCGCCATATAGGCACGTGCATGATTCTAAGGGACAGACGGGAGAATGCGTAGGCGCATTACTCCTGTCTGCAGCGAAACCCTCCCGCCTATGTTTGTGTCTTAGCATCCATGCTCCTCTGTTGCTTTCCCAGGAGCGGTTGCGTCTCAACTTTTGTTTCTTTGCCCGTGTACCCTTGTATTAGTATTTCGGCAATTCGGGTCTGTCTCTTAGTTTGATAGAGGGGCAGTTGGCCTCAGCAAACCCGAGTTTCTCTTCTTGCACATGCATAATTACATCCTTACCGATGAAGAAGCTGCTACCAAGCACCGCACTGTCTTGGCTGCTGCTGTCTTCGCTGATAGCAAGGCAACGATAATGTTCGTTACCCTTGCCATACAAGTAGGCATGGGGTCTCCAAACAACCCATTGTTCTTGCAGGCGCTCTCCCTGAGGTGACGAGGTGTTCCCTGCAGCACCACCAGCAAAGGCTGGCAGGAACAACAATTCAATAGTGGGGAACTCCCGCAAGTCCTTACGGCCGCGCGGCAGGAAGTAGCACACCTCTCCAGATGTGGCCTCCACCTTAACTGCCTGAGACTTGCGGGGCGGCGCAGAGTGTGGCAGCAGTTTGTAGGCAGCAGATTCGCTGTACTCTTCGGCAGGCACAGAGCTCAGAGCCACCAAGACAGGCAAAGCCTCGGTGTCAGGAACTTCTGTTCCTTCGCTAGCTGCGGCCGCCGCGTCCGATGCTGCTGACGGGTCATGCTCGGGAATCACTGGAGTGCCCGAAACAGAAGGCTCGTAAGCTTCAGCTGCAGCTGCAGCAGCAGCGGCAGCTGCTAACAACACTGACTCGTGCGGCCGCTGTTGTGGATGCTGCACTCGAGGCCTCCTTTCGGGTTCGGCTACCAACCTAGGCGGAGAGAGCCCAAGCGGACCCCGGGAAGCAACTTCTGGGTGCACTCTGTGTATCGAAAATAAGTCTACGGGCTTCGTTGGTCCTGCTCCTGGTGCTGCTGCAGATGCTGCTGCTGCCTCTTCACCAAGCGGGCCTTCCCAGGTTGTTGCGTCGGTCTTCTTGCTGTTGTTCACAATAAGGTTATCTCCACTCCAATTTCTGTCGCTACTGCTGTTGCCACCGAAAATATCTGCAAGTGGATTGTCGCCGAATTGCTGCAGCAGCCGACGGCTGTCGACGCTGCTGTTGCCGCTATCGATGGTACTGCTGCTGCTTGCCCCGTCGGAGGGTCCTTCCTTTGCATGTCTGCTAGAGGCAGCCTCCTCTTGTGCAGCAGCTTCAGCTTCTTCTTGTGCGGCGGCAGCTGCTGCAGCGGCAGCTGCGGCAGTAGCTTGCGGTGGCGCCGCTACTTCGACTTCTTCTTCTGGAAGAGGTCTTCTGAGGACGCCCTGCCCCACAGGAACATCTGCAGCTGTTTGCTGCTGCTCTTGCTCATCTTGCGTCTGATATGTTGCATCATTAAGCCTCCTAGATCCGTTGGCCCTGCGTCTGTTTCGTTGTAGGTGACTCTCAATAGCAGTAACAATTTGCTTGTACAGGGGCCGGGGGAAGTACGCCAAGGTAGAACCAGAGTCAATCAAAACAAGCAAGGTGTCCTTCTTTCGAAGTCCACCAGGGGGAATTTGGTTGCCCCAAGTCTCTGATGGAGGCCCGCGGCGGCCGGCATGAGACAGCACAACTTCTGCCTGTCTTGCTGCTGCTGCGGCGTCTTGGTGCGGCAGGAGCGGCACCACGCGTCCCCCTATTCGTACCGCAGCAAGCCTTACGTTGTAGCTGTCTCGCATGCCAATTATGGGTGTCCACTGGGGAGGCTGCAGGTGAAACTCCTCATGAGCCCCGCCAAATGTGAGAAGCCCCCCGTGCTCAGAGAGGCACATAGCGAACAAGCGTTGCCCCTGCAGAGTGCCTTGAAGACCTATGCCTTGCCCGTCTGGTGCATTTCCTGTCCTCTCCTCACCATTGGTCTCTGCAACAGGCGAATTGTGGTGAATGAAGCGCTGAGTAAAGACGGGGGGAGGGACATGATGCAGGGGCGAACCGCTGGAGTTGCTGCCACTGGTGCTGGGTGGGCGAGCCACATGCAGATCCTCCAGAAGAACTGAATACGGGAATGTAGGGGGGCCAAATGAATTCCAAACCTCCAAACCCCAAATGCCTGAGGCCCTTTGGGTAAGGAACAGGTTTGTCTCTTCCATGTGACAGCCAAAAGAGGCCTTAATCCCTCCTCCAGTTCTCCCCACTCCCTGTTGCTGAGTTGTTTGCTGCTGTTGCTGTCTCCATTGCTGCTGGAGCAGCGGGAGCTGTGGCTGTATATGGGGAGCCGTCAGAGCGTTTGCTCCTTCAAGGTATTGCTGCAGGGTGTGCATGGTCCTGTAGGCAGCAGTGATGACAGTCAAGTCGAACTGCGGCGGTGCCGGCTCTGTGGCTGCAGATGCTCCATCCAAGAGGGCAGAAGAAATAGGGCGAAGTCCTTGGCGAGAAGGCAGAATCGGTGGAGGTGCCGGTAGTCGCATTTCATCTTGGAACCAAAAGCCCTGCAAACTGCTGCCCTCCATGTAAGACACACGGTAGGCGCAGCTGCAGCGCAGCAGAATCAGAAAAAGGACGAGCAATATTGGCGTAAAGAAGAAAAACCAGCAACAACTGTAACATGAAACCGAGACATCTTCACAGAAAACACTGAAGCCTGCTTGCACTTCGAACCAAGCTCTCAGAGAAGATCACCACACGCTGAACATAAAACACTAACGCCTGCTTGCACTTCGAACCACTCCCTCAGAAAGACTTTACTTGTCTGGGTCTTGCATCACGCGCACAACAGGCGGTGTGACAAATATTCCGCTAACTTTGCTTACAGCTGCATGTGTGCATTTATGCATACGAAAGGATTTGTTTTCCCAATTAAAGGGAATGCGTGAATGTGTACGTCCTGCACGGGGGCTTATCTTGTGTTGCTGTTCATGTGTCTAACTACATGTAATTCATGAGAGTGTATATTCATTCCTATATGTTCCTGCATACATGCTTTTCAGCATTCGCCTGCTTATGCGTGTGAGCACAAATATGTATATGAACAAGGTGTTTTCTGTTTCTGCGTTGAAACACACTCGTGTGTGCACGCGTGCGGGAATACATAAATAAGCGTGCTCATCTCAGAAAACTGCAGGCACGTAAATGCACGATTATTCACTTGAACTTACTGTTTGTGGTGAATATCACAGAAAGAGCAACCTCGACTGCACGGGGTGTATGCGCAAGAGGGACTCTTGTGACAGCTGAACGGTTCATCAATGTGCTTCCCGCAAGACCTGAAAATTAACCAAAAAGTAATGTACTATTGGGGATGGGAGCCTCTGCTAAAGCCTAAAATGGGCAAGATCAGCAAAAATACATGCATCGACAGCAGTAGCGATTGCGAAAGCAGCAAAAGCAAGGAAAGTGGCAGCAACAGCATTAGCATTATAGAAGTTTCCTTCATGTTCATTAAAACAACAGTGGCTGTGGCAAGACTGCAGCGAAAGCGATAGCAGAAGTAGCTACAGCTGTAGCAACAATTGCTGAATGCGGACTTCAGTTCAGCCTTAATTAATTTAGTTCGAAGCAGCACAACGCTTGTAGGCACTTCGGTGTAACACATCTGCTCAAAAAATTGAAACGTAGAACATAAACTCAAGTTTTAGTCCCGAGACGCAGAGACAGGACATACTTGCAGTGCTCGCACGGGAAAGCCATTACAGAACTACCAGTGTCCAAAATAAGGCTTTGCCTTTGTGGGGCTCCGCTGCCGACGAACAGATCTGCAGCAGCAAAAACAGCAGAATTAGCAGCTACAGCACCCATATACGCGAAGAACAGCCCTGGCAGCAGGCAACCAACCAAATGTGACACAGGAAAGCAGATAGAAACCAGCGCGAGCAGCAGTAGTGCAGCAAGATGCAGCAACACCTTGTGCAGCAGCTACAGCTTTAAGGCAATACAGCTGCAGGCGCAGCAGCAGATGCAGCACCAGCAACGACGCCGACTGCACTGTAGAGCACTTCAGCAGCATAAGCAGGTGCTGCTGTTGCTCTGAAGCCAACTGCAACCGCATTTGCAATGGCTGCTTCCAAATGACATGTATGCTGCAAGTTCTGACGTTGCCACAGTTGCCATCGCAGCAGCTGCTGTTAATACAGGTACGTGGAAGCGTGCCTGTTCAAAGAAGCCTTCAACTTGGCAGCAGCAGCAGCGACAGCAACAGCAAAACTGGTATGTGACGGCGTACCTGCAAAGTAGTAGGCAGTCTGGTGAATGTTTCCAAAGGCCAAGGTACGCAACGGTCGGACAGGCCGAGGGGCAACATGGCTGTTGATATGAGGGTCAGGAACCTCCCCGGGTTGTCTTCTGTCGGCTGTCTTCATCCCATCTGCCGCTGCGGCCGCTGCTGCCGCTGCTGCCGCTGCTGCTGAAGCATTGCCTAGTGCTGCTGTTGCCTGTGGCTCTGCATTGGCGGGTGCTGACGTAGGAGGAGGTGGGGGTCGTCTGAGTGCGTCGCTAATTCTCTTGTTGGGGCCACCCACGTTCTTTTGTACATTCTGCTCCTGCTGCTTCTCATCGCTTGCTGCAGCGGCTGCTGCTGCCTCATCCTGTTCTGCAGGCTGAGGAGTTGAGAAAGCAGTAGCAGGGAGCTGCTGGGCTGCCTGCAAGTCCGCATACACCGCAACTGGCAAAAGTGAGGCCAAGTTAGCAGTGTCCAACGCAGCATCGATTTGCTTCTCGAGTCTCAGCAGTGGTGAGAGCAGGTGCTCATTCTGGTGCTGCTGCTGCTGCTCCTGCGGCGGCGGCGGGGGCGGCGGCTGAGGCTCTGCAGCAGCGCCTAAGCACAGGAGGCAGCACGTAAGGGTTAGGAGGGCGGGCTGTATTTTTATTGCACTCATTTTTGCTAGGAAAAATGAGATAAAGAGAACGGGAAACCAAGAGGGGCCGCCGCTGCTGCTGCTTCCCCTGCACTTGCTGCTGTCAGGAGACCACATTGGGGGCAAACAGTGGAGGAGGGGGAATTGAAGCAGCTGCCACAGGAGCAAGCGCTGCACGGAGGTATAGTGAGGAGACTGCTGAAGTCTCGTAAGGGAGACAAGAAACCACCGGAAGGTTAATGCGAGCCCAAGAGACAGAAGGTGACAGGGCTTTTCGGTCCACGTCGTTTCGCCCCAGAGGTGTTAGGCCTTGGATGTTGAGGCGGCTAATAGAGCACGGGCGCTCCATGCATACATTATAGATTTTTCCACAGAAAATCAAGCAACAAAGAACAGCTTGAGAAGTCAACCATACGTGTTGAACCTACTGAACCCGTGGCCGTCGGCCGTGTAGCGGGCTCCTCGTGTCCACCAGAGCACAACTAGGCCGAATTAAAGGCAGGATACATAATGAGTAGATTTGGCTCCCTTCAGAGGCTGCTGATAAAAGAAAAAGGCGAAGAGCACTTCTTGAGATAGGCCGCACCGTCGGTGTGTCTGTTCGGTGCCGCCAGAGGGTGAAATTAGGCTATAAAAAGATTGATTTTGGATTTATGTGACAAAAGAAAGAGACGAAATAAGCGTTTGTCTGCAACCATACTCCAAACGGCACCAACCATAACCAGCAATGCATCGGTCGGCAGCAGCCGCCTGCGAGCAGCAATGGACCTGCCAGCCCGGTTCCTCACTAAACGACGCTTCGAAAGAGAGGGTTAAGCTGAATAAGTATCAACAATTTTTAATGAAGAAAATTCCTCAAAACATAGTATTTTGCGTCGAAGGAGTGCCCATTCTAGTGTGGGCCCTCTGCACTGTCCGGGAAACCTAGCGGGTTTTGAGCAGCAGGCGTTCGCTGGTCGGTACGGCAGCAAATACGCAAAATCAAGGCCGACTGGCCATAAATTGCCTCATGTTAGTCAATAAAATGAGTGTTAAATAATTAACAGCATTTTCGCAGTCTAATTGAGCTAGAAAAGAAACCCCGTTTCACGGATTCCTCCCTTTAGTTACCCCTTCAGCCAAAGTTCGGGTGTAGCAGTGGTCAAAGATTAGAGCGACGACCATAAGTCTACAAACACCCGAAATACGAGTTGCATAGGAGTATCTTTAGGTTTTTTCTCTATTTAAAGCAATTTTATAGTGATTTTTTGCGGTCTCAGGGGGCCTCAGCAAGTGGTCAGGAAAGCATGGCCCAAACGGCCGGCCGGTAGAGCCGCATTCCAAAAACTAGCTATTATGAGCGTGAATGGAAATATGCGTAGTTTTGAAGTAGCTTAGATTGAATGGAGCTTTTTGTGTTCTTATTCTGAGGAATAGAAGAATTATTTTAGAGCAGCATCAGCTGGCGTACGGTCAGCCAGGCACACAGGTGAGGTGACCTGGCAGTGATAGGTCTTCCTCCCTCACATGAGCGGCTGCTGCTGCGCCCTCGACCACTATAAGCGCATTTATAAAATATATAATAAAAGATACTCATGGAGAGTTTTTATCATATAGATTCTTGAAAGTTTCTTGCGCGGCTCTCAGTCTCACAGACAAGCCGTCGCCTCCCTTCCTGTCCTGCTCCCCAGCGGGACTCGTTGGTTTGGTTTGGTTTGTTTCCTTCTTTCTCTTTTCTATCTTGTGTTTGTTCCTCTTCTTTGCTTTTTTCTCTACCTTTGCCTCCTCAAATTGGGCTCAGCAGAATCTGGCGTGCCGTGACGTTAAGCGCATTACACATCACGCGGTGGCCCCTCGAAAGGGTGTAGTTATCTGCATGTCTACACGCTTGTACTTCCACACATTTATTGTTGTGGGTTCTCACTCATCTACTCACACGTATTCATATTTACTCTAGTGGACCTCATTCATTGTCTCAGAGAGACAATCAAGGCTCAGGAGCTGTAGTTCTGGTGACCCCAGACAAAGCACACCTTCTCCATTTTCTTCCCACCTTTCCCCATCCAGACAAATACGCCCTCTCTCAAGTCCACTTGCTACCGAGTGTTCAAACGGGACAGAGGCAGCAGGAAAAGCAGACGCAGCAGACGCAACAACAACGACAGTAGGAACACCAGCAGCAAGCGCAGCAACAAACGCAGCAGCAACAGCAACAACAACAGCAGCAAGAGGAACAACATACGGGATTCTAGACCAAAGGACGGCAGCGGTACAGCCGCGTTGTTTGTACTGTTTTGTTTTTTCTCTTTCATTAAAACGACCAAATTTATTGGTTATTTACCGCACGCTGCGAAGAGCGCAGAGTGCAGTTGGCCCCCAAAGCAGGCGTTCCTTTTCGTTGGCGCAGTCTGAGGTGGACGCACGCCTCAGCGCTTGTACTTCAGGGTTTTACACAGAGGGTGGCATTCAATTATTATCTCGCAAGGGCGTATAAAACTCTATACGTGCCTCGGTAGGTATATCTGAATAAGGCTGTAGCACACTGTCCAAATACGAAGAGCAGCAGAGGCAAGGGCAGCGGCAGAAGCGCGTGCAGCGAACCAAATAACTTCTCAGGATGGAGTCTGCTGGAGGATCTGTGAAGCAGCAGGAGCGGAGGCAGCAGCTGCAAACAACCGCAGCGGCAAAGGCGGAAAGTGCAGCCATGGGAGGGGCCTTGGCACAGCCGATTCAAGTGGCTAAAGAACAACAACAACAGGAACAGGAGAAGCAGCAACAGCAACAGCAACAGGAAAACCAACAGGAGAGCTCAACTAAGAGTAGCAACAGCACCACTGCTGCCTCCCCAAGCAACAATTCCACCAAGGGCCACCAGCAGCAGCAAAAGCAGCAGCAGCAGCAGCAGCAGACCAAATGCAATGGATCAACGCCGCTGGATTCGCCTCAAAAGGATGGCAGAGGAGAAGATGTGGCCAAAGGGCAAGCGCTTCCAAATGCAACCAATGACAAAGCACTTGCTGCAGCCGCAACAGCCATAGCAGCAGCATCTGCCGCTGCTTCTCTCTTTGATGCTAGTGATACAACTATAACAAAAAGTTTGACTGCCTCAGTAGCCGCTGGCGAGACGTCTGATAATAAAACCACAAGGAAGGTGGCTGCTGCAGCAGCAGGAGCGACGTCAGCGTCAGGGAAGTCCTCTGCCTCGAGAGGCAAAATCCCCGCCTCGAAGGCCAACAAGAGCAATAGTAGCAACAACAGCAGCAACAGCAACAGCAGCAACATCAGTGGCAGTGGGTCCAACGCCTCCTCAGGGGAGGAGCCCACGGCGCAGGACCACACGCAGCAGCATAAGCAGCAGCAGAGCAGCAACAACAGCAACATACAACTGCCACTCACCATAAGCGCCGCAGCCAAAAAGGTTGGAGATATTTCAGCGAGCTCCTTGCAGGACTTCAGTGAAGCCATCAATAAAACTGGGGGGCCCGCAAATAGCAGCAGCAACAGTAGCAACGAACTCAGCAATCTGGGCAGCTGGGGCGGCGGCGACTCGGAAAAGGCAGGATTCATGTTGCAGAGCTACTGCTCTGCCCCCGCTTCTCTCTCATTTGACATGCAGCCACAGCAGCAGGAACCCCTGCAGCAACGAGCCAACCTTGCTGCAGCAGCAGCCGTGTTGGCGCAGCCCGAAGCGAGACCCCTCACCCTGACTCGATTTGAAATGTTGGAAGCTTATTCCAAAGGTAAAGATGCAAAGGCCACTAGCTTTGCCCCTGCTTTATCTACAGCAGTTATTCATGCTGGTGTTGCTCCCGACGCGCTTGTTGTAGCTGTCGTTTTTGCTGCTAATGCTGCTGTTGCTGTTGCCGCCACGGCTTATGCAGCTGCAGCTTTCGATTCTGCTGCTGTTGATGCTGCACCTGAACTCAGCCAAAAGCCTCGTTAGCTGTGAACAAGCAGCTGCTGTGGGTACATGCGCAGGTCGTCTTTGCCTGAGCTGCGACTCCCGCAGCCACCGCATGCCCAGCTGTCCTCATGGAGAGTTTGTCTGTCCGAATTGCCACAGAGCTTCGCACAGGTGCAGCAGCCACCAGCGACCCCTCCGGCAGAAACAATAGTGTGCATCAGGTGGAGGAGCACCAGACTATGAAAAACATGCTAGAAATGCTCATTAGACTTAACATGGAAGCCATATTGGCGGCGAATGCTGCAGCTGCTGTTGCATTATGTCAAATGCAGATTCTTTTGATGCTTATCTGCCGAATTATCGGTGCACACAGTGGTGGCTCTGTTGCTGGTGGTATTTAGTGCAGTTTTCGCCTTTCTTCTTCTTCAACTGTTGCAGGGGAGAGGATTGTCCGTTGCGGTGCCGTTTTTGTCTGAAGCATCACCCAGGAGTTTCCATAACCGTCTGTATAAAGGTTTGTGTTTGAAGTTTGAAAATAGGACCCGTGCACTTTACAGCTAGCTGCAGTTGTCTGCAACTTTTTAGAGTGCTGCTGCAGGTGTAGCTACTGCTGTTGCTGCTGTTGTTTTTCATGCTGCCCTGTCACAGTTTCTCTCCGTCACTGGCGTCTCTGTCGTGTGGTTCAAGCTGCCGATCACCTGCACTACATGTCTTTGCTGTTCGTGCTGCTGCTGCCACGGCATTTACATTCATTCAAAGATGAAATTCACTCACTTCCACATACCAAATGTGCATGTGTCTGAAATGCATTTCTGGGTCTTTCTGCTGCTTTTGAACTATTTTATATTTCTACGCGCTGTCTGCAGGGCTGTCGCGAGCCCCTGGAGCGCTCACTGTCACTCTCTTTGCCCCTACGGGAACGGACGCCCTCAGGTGGTTTGGGTGGAGGGCCTCGTGGAGGCCCCCACGAAGAAATGAGTCGGCCAGACTCTGCGTTCGGTAGAAGCATATATGTCTCTAACCTTCCCCTTGCGTGCAATGCGCAGCTACTCAGTGCTGCAATTCAGAGGCTTTTAACAAGAGGCACTGTTGAAAATGTGAGCATTCGTCCGGAGTTGCTGATGCCGTCTTTTGTTCC